GGCCCTAGCCACTTGTTGTCAACGCTGGCACGTGATCCAGTGTTGACAACAACTGGCTAGGGCCGCCGTCGCACGCACGTAACGCGACCGCAACGCGCCGGACGGACCAACGTCGGTTGAATCGTTGAAGTCTGGAAGCATTCCTAGGTTCTTCTCCTTCCTTCAGTAAATTGTGTATAGTGTCCTAATGAAATGTACCAAAACTGCATAGTGAACACCCTTCATCCCTCTCAAAAGGTTCTTAATTAATCACTCCTCTTGATATCTGCTTCGGAACCATACTCCTCCCATTCAAAATCGGCGGGAAGTCTGACGCGTATTTCGAATGTTTTGCGCGTATGCCGTAGACGTCTTCGACTGCTTGAACTGTAATCGCAAACTGATCACGCTCGAAAAGCAGAAATGTCGGGATGTCCGCTTCGATTGACAAGCAAACCTTTCTTTTTTTTTGTATACCATAAATTATCAAGAAAAGCATGTGTTTAATATTGTCAAAATTTCAGATATCAACTACCAATAGTGTAATTTTTAGCATCATAATTACTTATTTTCTACAGATCTCCTTCACTGATGATTCCCTTTGACTGGGATCATCTAGCTGGTTGATGCTCTGTCTACGTCCAATCAGTGCGACCCCGAGTGAGGGATATGGGTAAATCCTTGACCAAAAGTCATCAGTGCATGTTTAGATGCATGTGAAAGGGTATTTGAGTATTCATATGATCTGATCGCCGACCAAAACCTACCCGTTTTGTTGTTGTTACGTGGTATTTAAAGAAATTTCAGTTCATAAAAGAGCTTCACGGTTAAGTTAGCATGTTATGAAACCGCCTCTCTCATCCCGCTTTTCAGAAGAAGCTGATTAATGATTTTCTAATCAGGCAACGATGTCCATGTCCATGCAAAGCCTCGAAGAAGCCCTCCCGAAGTGCGAGGACGCTTTCGAGTGCTATCTTTGCAAAAAGAAATTCCAGTCGCGTGCTGATATGGACAAGCACAGGGTAAGTGGCCGTTGCTAAAGCACAATTTTTTAATATCTTATTTTTACATTCGATATTCTTCTCAATGCAGTTGGTTAGGGGAAACCGGTTGTTCTACCGTGGACGTGTGGTTTCTCGGCCCATTATGGGTGGCCTTACATTTCCTGAATTCCCATAGCAAGCGGCAGGAGCTACGCGGTGACTACCGTACCCTTCTAGCGCGATTGCGCGCGGTCGGAAGCGTCGGTGCGACGCGATTTTCGGGGAGAAGCATCCACAGCGTCTATCACGAGTATGACAACCGAGGCTCCAACAGTCTGTTACCACTTGCCAAGAGGGAAGTACAAAACCACCTATAAATTGCAGGAAGGGAATTTTGGGATTGTGAGTTGCTATGTGACCCTCAGACTTAACATAATCAGGGAAAGTTTTCTGGTCATGCCATCACTTTACGAATTTATATGTCAACTTCCCACATGGAGCAATCCCGAAGGGTCATCATGTCCACGTAAATTCACGATGAAGTGAAAGGCCGTTATAGTGTTTTCAACCAGATTGTATGGGCACGTACATACACCCAAATTCCAGGTGCCATGCCTCTTGCGGTCCTATGATGAATGCGAGTTCTGTAATAAGCGTCACACTCCGTTGAATGATATGATCGACCATGTGTTAGTCTCGTTTGACATTTCCGTAACCAGTTTTGATCGCCGAAGCATTTGAGAATGGTTTTTAACAACTGGAATTCCAGGTATACTCAGCATATACTGCCTGCAAAAAAGGCGACAAGTTCAAATAAGTGAGTGTTCAGCTTCCGACATGGGGTGAATTGAATTCAGCAGAATACTCTGTTATGTTGTTGTTCTTTTCTTGTTCTGTATGATGTTGATGTTGATAAATTCTATTTTGTGTAGTAATTACCATTAAACTACAAAGGAATGGTGTAGGTGCATGTTCGGGGGTGATCCCCCACACTAGTTGTCTGATAGCACGACTTTGTAGGGGAGCTTTCCGAAATTCACGACAACGCAAATTCAAATAAAAATATAATTCACAATGGAAGAAGTTGAACTCGATAAGCTCAAAATGTATAGGTACATGTGATAATGGTAGCGCCATAGAAAAAAGTGATAGGATTTCTGTGTTAGCGCCCTTGCGAGTGCATTCAACAAATAAATTAATAAAGTCAACGGGAGTGAAAGTTTACAAAAAGAAAGCAACCATCATGAATATGGAATAGCTTTTTTACCAAAATTTGTGGAACTTTCCGAAAATCAGGTGAGGAGTAAACATCAAGTAAATAATATTGTAATCGAGCATTCAAAAAATTGGAACGGGAGAGGTTTAGGAAGAGGATCACATGAGAAAAGTTCTAAACATGCAAGTAAAATGCTGGCGTTTAACGGAAATGGTAAGAAATACCTTCTGGAACCGATGAAAAACGTGCTGAAGTTCAGCGATTGGCAGAGGAAGTGGGCGGGCTCAATTGATCGAAAACGACGGCAAGACGGGAGGGAGATAGGTCACACAGGAAAATCAGTGGTCAAACTCGCCGCGAACTGGGCCCACAATGGTGTGACATAACACTCATGAAGGGCAATTCTAGAGAGGATGTGGGGAGTGGAGAGAACTCATGCATGTGGTTCTACCGTTAACAGAGTATTGACAATGTCCACACAAAGAGCGGGTGAGTTGGTTGAAGGCATATTTTGAACTATCTAATTTTAGATAAATAATGAAAGTGATAGTGAAGAGTAGCGCAAAAAAGGTGAGGAGAGCGAGAAAATTCGCGTATTCAGAAAGATAGTGAGCTCAGAAAAAAACTAAAATTAGAGGTTGGACGAGAATGTGACGACAGAAGTTGTAATGAGGGATATTTGTACGAGCTGTTAAAATGTGCGCACCATTGCATACAGCTAGCTGTAATAAGCTGCCTGCGCGCAAGGAATGGTCCCGGTACGACTTATACAATCTCTACAGCTTTTACAACGCCGTGAGAACTCGCCCGCTTCGGGTGTGTACGTCAGCTGAGTCGGTTCTGGGGCCCATATTACGCTCTATCTTGCCCGTTTTTCGCCGTGACTGCATCCCTCATGGTATTTTTGGGAGTCAGAGGTTTATAAAAGGGAGAAATCTCAGAGCCATTTTCAGCTTGAACTATGACTTTAAGCGCCGAATATGTCTAAGAGATCGCTCTGTTGTCTGACAATAAGTCCTACACTCTCCACTTGTCGAAGTAGAAAAGCGTTCCGGCTGTCGGAATTTTCCTTGGGTAGGTAGTAGTATTTTTGGAGCTACACAAAACTCAAATAGAACTAGCAGTTGAAAAGAGGTATTTTTATTTTCATTGCATCTTCCCATCTGATAATCGACATCGTTCGAATTCAATGAAAGAGCTGGACAGTGGTGAGTGAAAACACGAAAAATCATGAAGTACACATGAGAAATACTTCGAAAACGAGATCACGTGAGAACCAGAACTACACATATCCACCCAAAAATGATTTCTTCGTTTGCCATCAATTCTCTAACTATCACACAATAATGGCACATATGTAGAAGATCATTTCCATACTAGATTATACAAAAAAATCAGTCCTATGAGGTTACCGAACAATATCTCAACGATATGTTTACAACACAAGGATATAGGTTAGTTATGACGGGTATCTCTAATTAAAATCTGAATTTTCGGCGGAATGACATCTTTCAACAAATAACATCTGGAATTAGCGGATGTGGTGCAGTAGGAACGAAATTGTCGCGTCGAGGAGAAAGGGGCGCCGCGCGCGAAGGAATGTAGCAGGATTCAGCAGCAAGCAAGAAATACAGAAACAAAAGAAGTAATAGTAGACTCATGCCAAAAGTAATAATCGCATAGCGACTGTAAGAAGAATGCTAGAACTGAAATACCGATGCAAGTGGTCCGCGACAGCCGCGTGCGGCGGATCGGTTACACAGAACCGTTCCTACTGCCCGTCTCCCGGGATTAACCCTAATTTTTACAGCTAGTATTTGGTCTACGTTCTTGAAATTGTTGTTGGGCAAAATACAATACTCTCTTATTGGTTAGATGTAGGTTGGCTTAGTTGGTAGCTGGCGGCTACCAATCACAGGCATTCTCACGCGCGTCGGTGGATAGACCGTAACTCCCGCGCCGCGCGGATTTCTCGCTCACCGCGACAACACCCACGTACTGGCACAGGTATCGTAGATGTAATGGCTGCATGAAGTGAACAACACTACGATTGTGCTTCATCTAATACAATACCTTGAATGACAGTTCAGATTGATAGAGCAGGTTTTCAGCCAAAGTATTACTTTTCATAGAAAATGAACAGAAAACGTCTTTCGTGGACTGTGACATTGGACCTGCTATTCATATAAAAGGGATTGATTATACAATTTGAAAAAAGGGACCCGTAATACCGACATCAGCCTTGCACGCCGGCTGCACTAGCTGTCGAACCGTGCCGCGACTACAGGGATTAGGCTTGGGTATCAGGTCCGATATCATTGAACAGAAATATTCTTGTGGCTTATTTTCTTGTATGGAAAACGAGTTACTGTGAAACTTCGACTTCTTTCCCCAGAAATGTTTTTTAATGGCCAACTGAACAACTGGAACCACAAGACGATGCGACTACAACTCGGGAAGAGCTGTTTTCCTTTTTCGCTCTGATCCCTTCCCAATGGACATCTAACTTCTCTCCAATCGAATATTGTCAGTGTCTAAGAGAGTAGCCCACCTTAACTACACAAACAGCTGGGTTTCGCACTTTCTCAAATGGTGATAGTTTAGCCCTACCCAATTGAACGGTCTGGGATACCTCTGAGAACTGTCTGTGGGAGCACCCAGCATTTATAGACTTTTGGAGCCGGAGAAGGAAGGAAGAAGGATTATGTTTGAGCTAAATCTGACACGAAAATAAGATATGGATTTCGTTTTTACCATAAATCTAAACTTATTGAAGATTGAGGTATCTGTAAAATCACCGTAACAACTCAAAAATAACACAAAATACAAGGATGGCAACAACTTGGAATGGGGTCCTTAGTGATGAAATCAAGCGAGCGTCCCGCCATTCATCCCACGCCAGTTGATCTTGTTTTGGCGAGGTTGGCTCCAACTGATCACACCTGATCTGACATAGAGCTTCGAGCCGTAGCCGTTCACATAGACATCGCGTCACCAACGACTAAAAGTCATTATTATTTATATTTCATCCTAGTGAACTGATATAGAGATTCGAAATAAAAAAGTAGCTTTGGCGGGTTCTCTTAAATTACGGCAAACGAAACGGAAACATTTCAAAGGCGGTGGATACCATGAGATTATAGGGGGACCTGCAAAATGCGAGCTAGACCACTGGGCCAACGACCATAGTAGGTATAAACAACGGTGAGGTGTCAGCTTTGCTAAAACATTCGACGCATATCCTGCGTACCGACACGTTAGCCCAATGGTCTACCAAGGCTTCAAGGTTGAAGAACAAGACAAGAAAGAAGCAGGCTATCTCGCCTGATAAGGCCTTTCGGTGAATTCCAGTCAGCTCCGAAGCATGAGATAGGTGTTGTGGCGGTCATTGTCAGTGCTTCCGTGGCGCAATAGGCAGCGCGTTCGGCTGTTAACCGAAAGGTTGGTGGTTCGAGCCCACCCGGGAGCGNAACTTTTGCACGCTGTTTTTCCACTCCAGATCAAAAATAACAAATGTAAAACTTGTGGTCATACGGAATTTCGCCTGGGACCACGGATATTGTTTGTGAAAAGCAAAAAATTTGCTCCATGGGAGGATCGAACTCCCGACCTCGGCATTTCTCAATCTTATAAGTACCACGCGCTAACCAACTGCGCCAATGGAGCACGCCCGTTATCATTTTCCGCTTGTATGGCGATTCACAAGCGATAGGGTGAAAATATTTGGGCTAATTTCGAAAAGGAAAAGTGACTTTGGGGGTGCTTAATGAGGCGGTCAAAACTTTGGAGAAAAATCAAATCAGCAGAATTGGTTGTCGACTTACATGATAGCAGTGGGCATGATGGAGCGTGTATATTTCAGAAAGTGTAGACCGAACTACTAGACATTCTCGCTCCTTGTCGGTTTCCGAGTACAGCAACAATTTTTTCGAGGTGTCTAATTTGATCCTGAAATTACTCGACTAATTGTAAAAGCACAAAAGGTTTGAGCAACAAATTTCCAGCTCTTGTGGCTGCTAAGGACAATGCCGTAAAATAGCAAAAACCTAGAAGGAGCGGTTGTTTTTGAACGAGTTGTGTCGATGGCATCGGGCAAACCCCACCGCAGCCAAAAAATTCCAACCCTCTGGTTCTGTCATTAATCTTGAAGAAAATTAATTGCCGGAAATTAAAGGCAATGAACTGAATCAAGAAACGCCATGGAAACATCCTACAATCCAGAGGAATTCAAGAAATTCAATATCTTAATAGTTGCCACAATGGCGCTCCAATGCTTCGATTCGAGTAAGGGGAACTCATCGAATATAGCCACGAATGGGCGTGGCCTCATCATGAAGAATAATGATGCTCTCGTAATTGTCAATGTGTCGCACGTTTTGTACTGGAGCGCCGTTGCTGTATCACCTGGTAACTGCACTTGACCTCTTAGTGGATCTTGGTTAATTTCGGAGCAAATTTAATTATTTATATCCATAATCGGACTATGTCGTTTACGTCCACGCATACTTCATCTTCAAGACTGTATGATTCCGAGTCTCAGGTAACTTCCAGCCTTCATATGTTATTGTCAAGGGAAGCATGCTCGTCATACATACAGGGTGCCGGAACTCCTCTCCGAAGGCGGCGGCTACCCTACTCTTGCACTNCGCGCGATCGAGTGCGGCGAACGCGACGCCATTTTCGGGGAGAAGATACCGTACCCATACATACATGCTGCTGAGGAACAAATGAGTGCCCCTATGTCTTTAGATTAACGCTGCACAAATTCCTCATTTTTGCAAAAAAAAAACGTGCATGCAATAGAAAATAGTGGACATAAGTACAAGAAATGTAAATAACAAGTAATAGGCAAAGAGTGTCAGCTTGTCAAATAACTGGATAACGGATGGTTGGATTGTACTCATCTAAGTCCTACAATTATGGACAGGTGCTTTTCTTCCCTCTGGGTGACTAGATGCTACGGTAGGACTTCATCTTGAGATAATCGATATTTTAGTAAACAACCGTGAAACTTACCGGAGTAATCGATGCCTGTCAAACTGTGGATATCCGGCTCGGGGTTTCATTCGTTCTTCACATTGTGACATAATATTATGTACGTGTTCACTGGAACAGTTTTTGCTTCGACTCAGTGCACATTGCGTTTGAAGGTATCCAAGGGTTGAAACCAATTGCAGTCTCGATGGTGCGTCATCAGCCGGCACTCCGATCAAAGGATTTGTCTGAAATAGGCTTCGCGTAGTCCCTCAGAAGGAGGTTTGTATCGTGGGCATGTTTGGTTTATGATAAAGTGATTTCAAGAAAATAGCCAATGAGAGTTACCCAGGCAGTTCAAAAGACCATTTTTTGTCACAGCGAATGACAGAAAAAAANTTTGGAGATCAAGTTCAGTTAGGAACGCCTACATCGGTAGCCCCGCCTCCAAACAAATTGGCGTCTCGAAACTGCACCCACACTCTTTCCTAATCTTTACTACAAACAATCTGCGATCTTGGAACGTTTCTACAAGGCAGTAACTGTCGTAAAACTTCGACCGCTCACCTCGGCTGAGGTATGGGATTTTCGATACCCACAGCGTGCTAATGCCACTCGATAGCCGGCTGCTCCAGCACTACTGACGGCATTTGCATCACATTTTCCAACGCGTCGTTCAAAGCATTCGTCCAGCCACTGAAAAATGGTGACAGAAATGGTCCCTTCTCTGAAGGATGTAAGCAAAAAAAGTGAACAATTGTTCTTTGATCAGGAATTCCGTGACCAGGTGATTCTAAGCCATGGGTGGGACCTTCTCCCCGGGAATTGCGTCGCGCTAGCCGTGCCCGATCGCGAGCGCATTATGAAGGGAACGGTTCAAATTTCCAGTGCGATGTTACGGAAACCAATAAAAATTTTGCTTCAAACCAAAAATCACAAACTTTTATCATTCCCAAGTTCCATTTTGAGTCAAATAATGGAAGTATTGGTACAGAATAACGCAACGGTGGTGAAGCAAGCGAGAAGAAATCCGCAGAATTGGCGAAATGTGAGGGCCCACAAAATAGTTTAAGTAAGGGATTTACGACGACATAGCGCTAGTGGTATGGGAGGGGTGTTTGGACGAGGTTCTGAAATTACCTCACGAGTTAGCCACAAAAAGCAAAAAATGTCATAAACTGCTTTCACCACCGCCATGGGTCCAGGCCTGGGACCATCAGGTTTCTGAATGTTCAGTATATGTGTTCCATTATATTTGATACAGCCTCTCTAAGGACGTTGAGAAACGCCACTTCTGGGTGTGTTGTAAAATGGAGACAATTTCCTCTGAGCCCTTATTGCGCCCTATGCCGGCTGTTGCCCCCCTTTAACGATCCTCCAATGCCTCAGACTACGGTACCTTTCTTGTTCACATTTTTAGTTTGTAAGTGTATCAGTGAATTTACGTTTGGTATGAAAATTACAACTGCATAAAAAGTAACATTGAAGTAAGATGATTAAAAAATAACCTACCGTATAGTGAACACATTTGAGGGCTAGGTGTCGTTCCACACACACTTCTCCCATCATTTCAAAGAGTTCCGCAAAACACGAGACTCCGGATGTTGTGTTACAAACTGAACGCCTGAAATCTAATCTTTATATAAATTTAGATGGACCACAATAAGGTTCCTTCACTGGGTCCAGCTTAGTCTTGTGCAGGTAGTCAAATGGTGGGAGAGCCCTCTCCTGATTGCCAAGCACGCTCTACCAGTAACAGGTACATGCGGAGAACGTCTGTTGCGCGCGTCCGTCGAAAATAGGTCACCCCGCCCACTTCGCACGCGCACCCCACTGAGGTCTCGAGATGACATTGCAGTACCACCGAGTGTCAGTGGAGCGAAGGATTTGCATTTGTTATATTCTCTTTGGCTGACCGCCGTGGACCAAGCGGAAATCGTATGCCCCACTGACTCCTGCGACCTTCGTCAAATATCGCGGGCTGACCTGCCGCATGCGACGGCTGCGGCGTGACCTAGTTTCGACGGGAGCGCGCAACGGACGTTCTCCGCATATAGCTGTTAATTTTGATCAACTAGTATAGTAAAGAAATCTTTTTTTCATTTGCAGCGTAGCTTTGGGCAGATGGTGTGGATGCAAGTTGCGCACAGTCACACACGCGTGGTCACCGGTTCGAATCCTGGACCGATATCCCTCTAGGCCATGCAAGCCTTCCATCCCATCGGGGTCGATTAATTGGTACTAATATACTCGTGTGGGAGGATAAAAGCACTGATTTGTTCATCCTGGTCACCGCAAGAGGCTACATACGGATTCAATATGCCACTAGGCTCTAAATGAAGTCGAATACGGGGGCGCATCCATAAGACGGGATTGACTAACGCCCAAAGATCTTGTCTTTATCCTCAGGTTTTCGAAAGGCTATATAACTCCCATTGCTGACCGTCTTGTAGCTAGGAAAGCTTTTTCTTATTCGCCACTTCTAAAGAGAATCTTCCGAAGATCGTACAACAGAGATATGATAGGCTTATAAATAGACCGAGGCAAAGAGAGCCCATCATTCAAGCCGTTATATCTGGGATGAACTGCGCTTTCGTTCTCTCCGATGCTGCCTTGCCTTCCAATTTGGTCTCTTAGTTCCAGTACATTGACTTACTGCGTTGGTGGCTGTCTGATGCATCGCTCTTGATACCTCGGAAACGATGTGAGGCAGATGGGTGCGCTTCGTTGCGCGCGCCCGTCGAAACTAGGTCACGCCGCAGCCGTCGCTCGCGACAGATCAACCCGCGATCTTTGACAAACGTCGCAGTTGACAGCGGGGCATACGAATTGTGCTTGGTCCACAGCATTCAGCCAAAAGAGAAGATAACACAAGAAAATGCAAGTCACTCGCTCCACTGACACTTGGTTGTACTGTAATGTCACCTCGAGACCTCAGTGGGGTGCGCCGCGCGTGAAGTGGGCGGGGTGACCTACTTTGGACGGACGCGCGCAACGGACGGTCTCCGAGGCAGATAGATCCCTAATGGGATCCATTTCTCATTTTGAAACCATTTCACCTATGTGTGTCTGTTCCATGTTTATCTCTACGGTGAATGTGACGTCAAGAATTAAAGGCACAGTCCACGATAATTTTGAGGTACCCTTTTTTATTCGAAAAGCGTAAGTATAGGTTGGGAATAGTTCATCGATAGGAAAAAAGCGAGAGAATCCGCCGATTCCGAGAAAAATATGGCTCCCCAAAAGTAAGTAAAATAGAGCATTGACGATATTTCCATGACGGAAATAACATTTAAGGGGTATTCGGACGGAATTTCAGGTATTGCAATTGCACAAAGAGCTGACTACATCAAGCCAGAACTGTACGGAACTGCCCTTCACTGTCGCTATGGGTCATGACAAATCGTTTGAACTTCCTACATGGGTTCCCTTGTGATAGGTGCAGCCTCTACACTGCCGGTGAAACTCGTCCGAGGATACACACGGGCCAATCTTTGAGCCTTTATAACTCCCTAACTAGGCCGTTTTCCGACCTAATAATGCCAGATATGGTATACGTGGGGGCCTCAAATTCATCCTGTGAGGGGATCTCGGAAACCAATTTTTATCGTGAACTGTGCCTTTAAGTAATTGATTTTGTTGGTTACCTAACCAAGGTTGACGTTGGTAATAAATCAGTTACCGAGTAGCAGAGCCACTGTGGTTGCTATCCTTGATTGCTACTAAAGCGGGTTTCATTGTGTAAGCAAGAATAGCCGGTATATGATGGGAAGGAAGTTGTATTATCCAAAACTCTTCAACTTCATTGTTTTCTAAGGAGGAGAGGGGTGGACAAAGAGGAACACTAGTTAGAATCGAACTTTAGAGTTATAATTTGGCAGAGTAGCATTAACACTCTGGGAAACGAAGTGTAACAAACTGAAGTTCAAGAAGCATAAAAAACCAAAAGCAAACACATCAAAAGGACGAAAATATCGAACAAACTGGATATTACTCGTTTCGCCTCTACACCGGACGAACCACCATCTCCACCTTCCCCTGGGACTCGTCAGTGATTTGGGAAAACAAAGGAAAAAAGGAAGAAGCTGGGTCTCAATTTGGAGCCCGAAAAAACGGGAAACTTGTAGAGCGTTCTTAATAGTGCGAGTCACTAGAACTACGAACTCTATCGTTCAAGCAAGACATCAAGCAAAACGTTAGGTTTTCAATTTTCGCGTTACCATGCATTGCTACTTGTTGGTTTTCACGTGACCTATCCACAGTGATTTTTGGCCACGCCCCTAGAGTCTTGAGGGCTTGATTTAAATGAATAAATAAAAATCAAACAAATAACTTACGGTGGTACGTATGATCGTACAATGAATGTATTGACAAGGAGGTTGAGGTGATTGAGCGTGGTCACTAGCAGCAGGACGCGCATTCAGCCAGCATTAGCGAATGCTGCCGGCGTAAAACGAAGCACGTCTGAAATCTTGAAATATGGGCATCCATTGTGCTCAGTCTACTCAGTGCTTCGCAGTGACATCAAGACTTAACGACGCGAAAATTATGTATCACTATTGAGAACTTTTTTGTAAACTGCAATATGCAATACAATGAACAATTAGATGAGTTCGATACTTCTCTGCTATACACTTGAGGTAGGATCGCCTCTGTGAAAGTTGGCCATGAATGTCACTTCACAGCCGACTGATTTTAGAATCAATTATCGATTACACCATTTCTTATGTACTAGCGTATAGGTTCGTGTCCTCTCTTCGGACAGTGAAAAGCAGAAAGTCAGCTCTTACTGTAGGACAGATCAGAATACTTAACGAACAGTCTGAATTACTTGTTGGGTGGCCTAACTTGTTAAGTTTTTGCGTTCTACGGAAATGTATTCCACATTCGTGAAGCTACGATCTTTGTAAGGATACTAGAGTGCGTAGTAAGAGGCTCGATCCGGTTACAGCGCGCGGCGACTTTTAGCTAGTTGTCTCGCCGCGCAATGTTAACGCAATGCTACTCAGGTGATTGGTTAGTTGACTCGCTGTAGGAATTCAATGCCAGAAAGGAAAAGCAGCATTTCAAGAGCAATATATGACGTAAAGAATCAGAGCGAAAAATGTCCGACATTCCAATGAGCGTTCAGCTTTTGAGCGCAACAGCACGAGATAAATCTGGGCTACCTATCCCTTACAAAAGACTCCGCATTATTCTTCGTAAACTCCTAACTTCATAACAATTTTTAAGAAAAGATTTGAAGAAAAGTTAAACACGCTCAAACGAAGCCCTGGAATTTGCTACTTGTACGATTACGCTATAAGTCTGTTCGGGAATCTCAAGTTCAGCAGCCATAGATACAGATAATATGCTGTACTTAAGATCGCGAAAAAAATAATATTGAGAAGGAAATAAAAGCATGAAAAGAAGAATAATATAACAAGAAGAATAGCCAGAAATCCCCCCAAAAATTGCATTTCTCGCCGTTCCAGCGGAATCCCTGAACGACCGAATTATCTGAATCGTCAGTAGAATCGTAAATTTTTATTGTTGATGTGTGATGAGTGTTTTTGGCCAGAGACCCATTTATGAACAATGAGGTGTAAAATTTTGAAGGAAAAAGCTATCTCTCCTTACTCTGGCACAGTAGGCACTTCGCCGTTCTAAGAGAGAGTTCCATGTGAAAAAAAGTACAACCATATTCGATAGATTGTTGTGTCGCGACAAGTTGTTGCAATGATTTTCGAATTGAGCCGAACCTTAGACTGAATGTACACTCAATTTTCAGAACCCTCTGTTTCGTATTATTACAAAGCTATGACACTGTGGCCAGGATGTTCTCTGATGCGTCGCCCCTTTCTCTTCCTCCTTCCCCCACCCACTAACTTGTGGCTATAAACCACGGGCCACTTCTCTTCGATTTTTCATGCTCACACTCAGTTACTAGCCCACTATCGTCTAAAATCATATCATATGTTAAATGAGATTCGATGGCGATGTATTACCGAAGCACGCAGACTAACTTAGCACTTATTCTCCCCGTGAAACGGGAAGTTCCAGAATTTTCGGAGATGTGCTAAAATCAAAATGAAACAGAGGTAACAGTGCTTCATCCAATCTAATACTTGTACAGTAAAACTCTTCGTGACTACTATAAAAACACAAGCATTGCTTTAAAAACCATGAATTTGCGAAGCCGGGTGTACTCGAAAATAACTGTACATGATCGTAACCGTTTTCGATCGCGTTAGGGTCCTGGTTGGATAGGTGGTGCATTACCTAATATTCACTTGTTAATTTAATATTGTACTGAACTAAGGGTTACTCGAGTATACACGACCCTAACACTTAACAATGCCAACCAGTAGCCTTACTCCGTAGTCAAGTAATCTACCACTTTTGTCCATGTACTCCAATTTTCACATCAAATGAGGTAGTCGTTCAAAAATTCCGGGCATTTGTAAGTCTTCATACCCATATCGTGAATTCTATATAAATCTCGATGCCAGTCAGGCAAATAGTGTCCCCTCATCATGTTTATGGGTAGAGGCGGAGGGGGAGTAGTGCTAAGTGGCGGCGTTATCACGCACGTGATCCATTCCGGATTAATATTTTTCCTAGGCAACTAGTATTTTCATCAATCTTTGGTCGAGTGAACGGCAACAGACTCGTCTTCGAATGTAAGGAGGGTAAAGGCCTTGAATTATACCAAAAAGAACGCCATTAAACTTTGCACACATCAAACACGCATTCAAACGTTATGACGATTCTGGACAAGAATCGAATGCGTGGATGAACTCTAAAGAAAGTCTTTCCCGGTCAAAAATTCGGACCTATGCATTCTATCAATCTGCTCACCTTCTTACGTCCGCGAATTTGACAAAAGATGAAGAATAGGCCAACATGAAGTCAATCTACAGTCCAGGACAGCCAAAAACAGAAAAAAAAACTTTACTTACACGAAATAAAAAAAAATTTGCTTGAGAATTGGGTGGTCGCTTCACATTTGCTACTTATAGAGCAAGGAAATAGGCTACTGATCTCAGAAAATGAGAAAGGAAACATTTTCCCGTCTGCAAGGGTCTCAAGTTATGAGGCATGGATGTCCTTCCGTCATGGCTATCAGGAAAACCACATGACAGCCAAGTTCATTGTGACTTTACCTTCGGGAATATCCTACTCATATTAGGCTTCGTATGTCGCCCCATGAATTTGACTTGGATATCCGAGATATTTGCGTAATTACAGGCCCTCTGGCCCCGAATCTCATAGCAATCAACCATTCAACAGGTACAGGTATGCCTTTGAACAGGGGTATGCTGTCCTCATTAGAGGCTTATGCTCGTGTATCACTGATTACATTGGAGCGGGACGTACATACATAGTAAGTAAGTATACAATTTGAATAGCCCACTACTGAACGCTTTGTTTGGTGTTGGTTATAATCGTCTGCATTAGTAAATAAGCAAAATAAACAAAATCAGCTGTGGGAATCAGGAAATCTGAGGGAAAACGGGGAAAACGTCCGATCCCCGGAGACATTGGCAGGACTGAGTGAGAATAGGAGGATGCAAGTGCGCTCGCCCTCAGAGCAAATGAAGAAACCATAGAGGAGGCATCCAAGAAGCCATACAAAGGAAATCCACGAAAGCGTGACCGACCACGATGAATAGAAAACTGAGTATTACTACGATAACACTGAAATATTGCTCGATGACGATAGCCCGTGGGGAAGAAAACACTCGAGTTACTCGATGAAGCATATTCAGTATTCGCAACTGCCAACATATTGTTTTTAATAAGGAAGTCATGCTAGACGACACTTCGATTTTCAATTGTCCGAAAAGAAAAACGAAGTACAAGCATTCGTGTGGAAGAAGAATTTTTCAAAAGAAAAAATACCTACAATTACTTCTAGGTAACAGTTTTAACAATAGCAATTCTATCCATACCGGATAATTAGCCTAATGCCAGCTTAAGGAAGGAATTTTTGCGGTATCGTTTGAAAAAAGACCCTCATGTTCAAAATGACTTACAAGATCATTATAAAATCTGAAGCAAAATTCCTACGATTCGATTGGGCCCTGTGCTTGAATTTTACAAGTCTTACTACTTACTTTCGCAATGAGGCCTGAATAATCCCGGTACTGAAGAAAACAAGTAAAAAGTTGAGTGAAAATTTTAAAAAAAGTTCAAAAAACAGTAACAAAAAGTAAAACTGGTTAAATCTTAATAAAACTTGGTCCCAGGAGCCGCGGTCGTTATGACTTCCTATCATTATCGTTTCGCCACAAAGCATCACTTTCACCTCCAGTCTTTAACCCCCTCCCCCTCCCCACCTTCCCACCTTCCCTATCTCCAAACTCCTCCCACATTACTTGGCATGCATCCAACATGAACACTACTCTACACTACTATACTGTACTTGTATCTACAGTAGACTATGAGTATTCGATACTCCTATGCCGAACAGGTTTTTTAATAATAAAAATTTGACGAGTTCGGTGGCTCAAAGGCCTGAAATTTTTCTGAAAAAAACCTGTCCGGCTTTGAAACAGTGAATATTCGTATTAATGAGGTCTCCAATAAGCTGAACATTGAGGTTATGTGTAGATTGTTGTTCCGGTTCACTTTAGATATAGTACATATCAAGTAGGGCTATAACCATTAGATATTCCCAATGCAGCTGTAATGAAACCGTCGGTACGTCATCGTTAAACTCTGACAGAAGCAGGGGTTTCTCATGTTTATCCAGC